TAATCCGATTACTTCCCACCTCATTCGATTACCGCCTAATTTTACATATCCCGATTATTTTTAGATTCCAAATATAAAAAAACCTTTTTATTTTTGTTATTCGATCATTTAAATTGGGAGTTTGTGATGTTTTACAATAACTTATGTTCAAATTTTAATAAAAAATCATAAAAATTTATCTCAAAAATATAATTTTATGTATTTAGTGCAATTTTGAAAATAATATTAGATTAATATGTTTTTAAAATATTAAAATAACCCTAAAACTAATCTCCGATTAATTCCCGATTTTAATCCAATTTTCCGATTAATCGCTAGATCCATACTGAGCGCCCGACTAAACCCTAGCGATTTTCCAAACAAGGGTTATAACTATATTGTTTGATTGGTAGAAATGTACGTTTATTTCTTTTCAATTTTTAATGTACGATTTTTCTAATGGCGTACTCGTAGGATACTAGGATGAGCACATATTTTGGCCCCGAAAAAAAAGGTTTACTAACCAGTTTTAGATAGAACATTAAAATGTAAAGGAATATAAGCGGATAACATAAAGAAAAAAAAAGTAACATTTGTAGATAACAGAGAGTTTATCCACATAAAGTTTTTTTTATAGTCCATTCAGTAATTAGTATTTTCATGAAATTGCTTATGCATGAGTTGACAAAAGTTACTGTTTACAAATGAAAAACTATTATTGTGGGTAATATTATTCATTACAATTTCGTTTGTGATGCAAAACACATTTATTATTTCAATTTTTTTTTAGTTCTAGAAACTTTGGCATGGAATTGTTTAGAAAATATATTATTTCAGAAATTTAAGCATAGGTGAATATGTTTTTGGTGATATAAATATGTTTCAAGTAACAAAGAGATTTTAATTTTTGAAATTTTTTCATGTTTTCTGAAATTATGGAAACTTTCCCAGGTTTTTAGGAATTTTAACGTGTTCATCATAAATAAACACAGTTCATTTCTTCATTTGAATGGTAAATATTTTTTATATGTAAAATTCAAAGTCTTATACAAATATTATCAGTCTTAACCATCGTCTTAAATATTTTTGCATCTCGTAAAACTTCCATCAAAAAATTTACCATAAATTTGTAATCCCAAACTTGCCTCACTCATCGTACATGCAAAAAATATCCGCTTTTAAGGTAAATTTCAATAGAGAAACGTGAATATAAGAGCACCTCCATTCGTAGAAACGGTGGAGCGTTTCTCAAAAAATAAGAATAATAATATTTTAATCTTTTTTTAACAATTGAACTAATAGTTTAATGACACATACTTAGATACGTCTCTTAACGTTTGTAGAACAAGAGACGTTTCTCTTCTCTTTCCTATGTTTTCTCTTTTATATTGTTATTTTAATAATTAATTTTTAGATTAGGAACGCCCGATAGAGATGCTCTAAAGGTATTTTATCGATTGTTTCGAGAAAAAGTTAGTTTCTAGTTTCTACTAACACGATAACAAAAATCTGCTTGAGCATATTTTTTTTCAAACATGTTACTTTTTATAAATTTTCTTCCATGTATAAAAAATCTAGTAATTAAAACAATTAAAAAATGTGCTTGCATCTATAAGAAAATAAACCTTGAATTATTTCATATAACTTAAAATTATGTTTTAATAATTGGTAATTGATTTTTATATCACTATACTTGATCTGAAGCTGCCATGTAAATATTAAATAATACCCAATACTTTGCACGACGTTTGAATGGAGTAGTATATATCTACTTTGATTTTGATATTATTTTTTTGCTTATTATTTTAACAAGCATTAATTGCTTAATCATTTTGTTATCGTAAGATAATTGTTTGAAACTATGTTAGCTCCTTTCATGAGTTATTATTACCGGCACATGTTCTTTTAGATACTTGCTTACATATTTTAATATATTCTCCATCATTTCATCTTTATGGGTTTTTGATTACTAGAAACATTGATACTTCAACTATTATTTCTTTAGAGTTTTCTAATCCGGATTATTTGTTATGGCCATTCAAATTCGAAATTGAGTTAGTTCATTTTTATGTTTCAAAAGAGTGAATAATAAATAAATAAAAATCAAATTCATGATTTGAATATAGACAGACAAAAAGTATTAACTGCTACTTCTGGAACAAAAGTATAATTTAAGGGTCACGAGTGAGTGTTTGACTCACGTGTCTGTAAAACTTTTTTTGGTTGCTCAGAGCACTTGTGAACCGTACAGTTAAAAATCATTCCACCAATCCCATTTCAGATTCCTATTTTACGTTATATACACTCATAAGTCGATTTTCTTTTCTTCTGTAGCTTTATGGTTTGGCTTTTGTTTGTATCAACCTTACCAAGCTTGTGTAATTTGTTCTTTTGTCTTAATTAGGTGCATGGAGAACTTTGGTTCTAAATATTTTAGATGCAAAAATGATATACCAAATATGAGAGAAGTACAAACCATTTGTCTCCATGTACTTATTAGAGTCTATACGAACGAGAAACTAACGTCCATATGGTATGCTTCGTTAGTATTTTATTAGCGAAAAACAAGTTTATATCAAAATAGTTTATATTTTAAAAAATTATATAGAAAATTTTTTCTTAACGAAAAATCGATCAAATGATATAATTAAAGTTTTAAGTGATACATAAGAACCATTTAAATACAAAGTTTTTGGGAAAAAAAAATTAAACACAATTTCGATGAAAAAGTCCTCATATTACCGTTTAGAATATTACCCATTAGAAGGTATGTTAGAAAAATCGTTATAACACAACTGTTATGTACATTCTCGTATTACCATGTGAGTCGATTAAGCTCTTTATTATGTGTTATTGATTTCAAGAAAGTTAATATTATATATATAGACTAATTTATATTTAACCTAATTTATTGGAAAATAGATAAACATGAATAAGTAAATATTTTGAATCTTTTAATCATTATGATCATAATATGATTTTTAGAATATTCTTCAGTTTAGGTTTCACAGATTCACTTCATAAATGGATTTTGACGGTTCTTAATAGTTAATCCGCAAGATATACATCTTGCTCCCTAAGATATCTCCAATAGTAATGTTATCTCTTACTATTTCATCATCTCTTGCTGTTATCTTTTACAGTTAATAAAAACTCTTCCCGTCTTAAGTGATCAACATATCCGATATTTCGATTGTTGGTACAATAGGAATTAGGAAACAACTAATTAACAATTTGTTACAAATTGATTTAAATTTCTGTCTAAATCTCGATTTTACTAAACTGATATGAATTGACTAGTAATTAACTAACTATTAATTTGTCGTTAACAGTCAAACTGTTGTAGTGTTGTCAATGAGAGAATGGTAGTCATTCGTTTTCACCGAATAAATGAGAAGCTGTTAGAAAGAATTCAAGTCTTTATATTTACATAAAGTTTCGTATCCAATATACCTCGAACGAAAATGTCCTTAATTAATCAAAGAGAAATAAATACGAGCAGATTTCTGTAATACTTCGTTCTAGTGTTCTCATTACCGAAGCAATATTTGGTTGTATTAGAGCACAAGTATATAATCGAATAAACGAAACCAGCGTCGTTATTTTATGGGTCAATTATTTTAATAATTGGTAATTGTCTAACAATAAATAAGCTGTTCTGTTGGAAATGTCTAATAATAAAAAGACCAACAAATCAAATAACAATTCGGAAAAGAAATAAAGAAGTGTGGGCAACATGACTAGATGCTTATTATTGGCCTATTTGGTGGAGAGTCGATCGATACTCGAGACCCGTGACAACCTTCTCTCTCTGTCTCACAGCTTTATTAGGTCTTACGTTTCATTTTTTTTTATCTGTATTTTACTAAATGTGTAAATGTTTCTATATATGTTATGATAGAAGAATACATAATTATTCTTCTTTCTGTTTATTTATTTGTTTCCAGTAGATCATCGCCTCGTCTGACCACGACCTTGTTCGCGTGGTTTGTTCCCATGCCTATGCATCTAAATTTACTTTTCTTTTATAAATGAAGAGGAGAGGACTGAAATTAAGATTAATCTTCAAATTAAAACTGCAAAAAAAAAAAACGTGTATTATATTTTGCCATTTGAAACGTTTATAATTATCATTCATGACTAAAATATATAATTGGATATATATATATATAATTGGAGAACTCCATTATAAATCTTTCAAAAGTTTCATATAATCTTACATGCCACCAAAAGTAATTTTTAAATCCCACCAACTAAATATTTATATCGAGATTATATGAAACTTTTGATTACGAAACATTGATAGTTTACCCCCAAGGCCCCAAATGTTTTGTATAATTAAAATTGTTTTGAGAATTATAATTTATCTAGACAAATATTTTATGTCAAAACTAACAAAAATTGAAGTAGTTTGTTAGCTGTATAATGGCATGCAAAGAGCGAGTTAAGATTTAATTAAATGTATATTTGTAATATGTAACACTAAATCCATTAAACAATTAAATGAGCTAAGTTTTAATATATTTTTTAACTAGCTTTAGGGGTTATGCGGATCAGCGGATGTAGTGGCGGCGGTGGGGGACGAGTCCAAGCATGGACATGACTGGAGGCTACGGTAGGTGGTTTCAACTTTCAACAATATATAATTAATTAACAACAAATGAGTCTTCTTTAACGTTGAAAAAAACTTAACAACAAATGAGTCTTTAACGTTGAAAAAGTTTAACAGGTTAATTGACGTGTTGATTAGTTGTTATATATGATAAATATATTATGTTATTAAAGCAGATTAAAATGAGACGTTGTGCGGGTTCAAAGAATCATCATCTCACTGGTATTGCTTTAGTGTAAATATTGACAAATGTATAATCACTGAGAAAACGTAAAAATAATGTTGAAGGAAAGAAAACCAAACTGACGCTTTTGAAAAAAGGGAAAACAAACTATTAAATGTTTTCAACAATTTTATTTTCTTTTTCTTCTTTTGAGATATATATCTTATTTGCTTAACGTGTCCAACTAGATTGTTTTATCTTTATCTTATTTTATGTTCATAACAAGAGTCTCTTATCCCTTGTCATCAATTTTCGCCGAAGACTTCTCTATAAATACCACATTCACTTTCTATCACATGAAAACTAAAAAACACAAACATCACATGTATACACACATATAGTTACAAACACACATACACAAAACACAGATATATATAAACATGTCTTGTAATAATAAACCATTATTAATCGGCAACAAAGTCGTCGTTATACTTGTATTCCTCTTATGTTTGGTTCACTCGTCAGAGTCACTTCGCCCACTCTTTGCATGCGACCCGGCAAACGGGTTAACCCGGACGCTCCGGTTCTGTCGGGTCAATGTACCGATCCATGTGAGGGTTCAAGATTTGATCGGAAGGCTCACGTTGCAGGAGAAGATCCGCAACCTCGTCAACAATGCTGCCGCCGTTCCACGCCTTGGTATTGGAGGATATGAGTGGTGGTCCGAGGCTCTCCACGGCGTTTCCGACGTTGGTCCTGGCTCTAAGTTCGGTGGTGCTTTTCCCGGCGCCACCAGCTTCCCTCAGGTCATCACCACCGCAGCTTCTTTCAACCAGTCTCTATGGGAAGAGATCGGACGGGTGAGGATAATTTACGGATATTACTTTTTATATACATTTTAAAAAAATAAAAAATAAGAGACTACTAAATTTTATGATATCTCTACGTGAAAAAACGACATCGACATCGTAGCGGTCATACACTAGCGTTTGATTAGTGGGACGTTCTATATTTAATATATAAATCTTGAAAAATATAATTCACTTGAATTTTATCTGACTACGACATGAGTCTATCGAATAAGTCAGAAAGAGTTAGTAAAAATCCAAATAACGATATATTTTCCTTTAGACATCAAATCCAAAACCAATATATAAATTTATGGGTTAAACCAAACTTTGATTTTATAAACTTTATGATATATTACGTGTATATATATATATATATATATATATATATATATATTTTTATGTCAATTAATGACGTCTATATAAATTAATATGATGATGGGCAAGCTAGCTATAACCAGTGAATATAAAAAATAATATTTTTTAACATATGGTTTATATATGAAGAATATTTATACCTTTCAACAAAAGCAAAGGTATGTGGAGAATATCTTAAAATTGACATGATTTAAAATGAATAAAAGGTGGTGTCTGATGAGGCAAGAGCTATGTACAATGGAGGCGTGGCCGGTCTGACATATTGGAGTCCAAATGTGAATATATTGAGGGACCCACGGTGGGGCAGAGGTCAAGAAACTCCCGGAGAAGACCCTATCGTCGCTGCAAAATATGCCGCCAGCTATGTCCGGGGACTTCAGGGCACCGCCGCCGGAAACCGCCTTAAAGTCGCCGCATGTTGCAAACATTACACTGCTTATGATCTTGATAATTGGAATGGCGTCGACCGTTTCCACTTCAACGCTAAGGTAATATTATTCACCTTAATAACTATTAGATTTGTGTGTTTTGAACTTTGAAGTTTTGACCTCATGTTTAATTTCAACTTTATATTTCCACCATTCATTTGATGCTAAACTTCTTTTTGTTTGGTTTAAAAATGCTAAAACTCTTTAAAATTTAGATATTCGACATTATATATTTATAATTTTTGTGGAAATAAGAGAACCCGTGAGTCACTTTTTTCTTACAATTTAAGTGGTTCTTGATTTAAATCAATTTCAAATTTCATTTTCGTTATCAAGAAATAATAAAACAAAATACTTAATTTTTTGCTTAAACATATAAATAAACTTGCTCGAATTAGAAAGCTCTACTTTATGTCGTTTTCTATTAGTTATAGCTCCACGTAACGAATTGGATGTGACTGAATATGCGTTTTCTTGTTAATAAGGCCTTTCGTCTTTTATCTTGTTTCATGACTTCATTCGTTAAATCCAGCAGATAGCTTAAATCTAGATATATCTCAATCGTTAGTCATTAGTTATTTATAGTTCCGTAGAATATGCGTCACTTCGTAATCTTGCAAAAGCCTTTTTTCATCCGACTCAATTGAAATTCCTTGTATGAGTAAAATATGTATAGATTTGAATGCATGTCACAGTCAGATACAAACAAAACATTTGCCTAATATATATAACAGCTAATTAAGCCAATAGACAGCGTGACTTAGTGATGTGTCATATGCATAGTCTCATGTAATATTGGTGGAGAATCTTATCCTTATTGGTTCATGTGGACCAACTTGGCCCAAGCCCCTTGCCTTTTATCTTGTTCTACCATATACGTTAAATTAAATTATACTAATATAGAGATAGCTTAATAGGTGCATGTTCGGTCCTAAGATTTTGGGACCTCAAAGGCTCAAACCTAAAAGAAATTTGTGATCCGTTAATAAAGATTATATAAATACAACAAAACTTGATCTAGTGATTTTTTTTTACAATTTTTTTCAAAGAACTAACAATTTAAAAACTTATACAATTTTGGGATTAGTATCTTCAAGCTACAATTATATTATTTCCTAACAATCATTTTTTACTAAAATGGTGAATTATTCAAACTTTTCTTAAGAATTGGCTGTTTGTAATATTTATGATGGATTATTGGATTTAGGTCACCCAACAAGATTTAGAGGACACATACAATGTGCCATTCAAATCATGTGTTTACGAAGGAAAGGTCGCGAGTGTAATGTGTTCGTACAACCAAGTCAATGGAAAGCCCACATGTGCTGATGAAAATCTCTTAAAGAACACTATTCGTGGTAAATGGCGTCTCAATGGGTAAGTGTTTTAAAGTCAACATAATCAACGGTTCATATCAATTTGACTCATAGACTAATAATAACAATGCATACGTATATAGGTACATTGTCTCAGATTGTGATTCTGTTGATGTTTTCTTCAACCAACAACATTACACTAGCACTCCGGAGGAAGCTGCCGCCGCCTCCATTAAAGCCGGTTAGTTGTTTTCCTCCTCCGTTGTTGATGTTAAATCTACTGCATATGGACCGTTTGATCAATTTTGACACGAAAAACATCGTGTCGTTTTTCAGGTTTGGATTTGGACTGTGGGCCGTTTTTGGCGATCTTCACGGAAGGTGCGGTGAAGAAAGGATTGTTAACGGAGAATGACATCAATTTAGCACTTGCTAATACATTAACAGTCCAAATGAGACTTGGTATGTTTGATGGTAATCTTGGGCCGTACGCTAATCTTGGGCCACGAGATGTTTGTTCTCTGGCCCATAAACATTTAGCCCTTGAAGCAGCCCATCAGGGAATTGTTCTTCTCAAAAACTCTGGTCGCTCACTTCCACTCTCCCCCAGGCGCCACCGCACCGTCGCCGTGATTGGTCCAAACTCCGACGTCACTGAGACTATGATCGGAAACTATGCAGGGAAAGCATGTGCCTATACGACGCCGTTGCAAGGAATTTCAAGATACGCGAGGACACTTCACCAAGCTGGTTGTGCCGGTGTGGCGTGCAAAGGGAACCAAGGATTTGGTGCGGCTGAGGCAGCGGCGCGTGAAGCCGACGCGACGGTTCTTGTGATGGGACTAGATCAGTCTATAGAGGCGGAGACACGAGATCGAACTGGGCTTCTCTTACCGGGTTATCAACAAGACCTAGTGACCCGTGTGGCTCAAGCTTCTAGAGGTCCAGTGATTTTGGTTCTTATGAGTGGTGGACCAATCGATGTAACCTTCGCTAAGAATGATCCACGTGTTGCTGCCATCATTTGGGCCGGGTATCCGGGTCAAGCGGGTGGAGCTGCCATCGCCAATATCATCTTTGGTGCTGCTAATCCCGGTACGTAGCTGCTGATAATGATTTGCTTTCTTTTAGACCAAAGTAATGAATATTTAGCTTTGATTAGTAACATTCAATATTATATATCTTATGATAGGAGGAAAACTACCAATGACATGGTATCCACAAGATTATGTGGCTAAAGTGCCAATGACGGTAATGGCCATGAGAGCATCCGGAAATTACCCAGGAAGGACATACAGATTTTACAAAGGTCCAGTGGTGTTTCCATTTGGGTTCGGTTTAAGTTACACTACCTTCACTAATAGTTTGGCTAAAAGCCCATTGGCCCAACTATCAGTTTCACTCTCCAATCTCAACTCTGCCAATGCCATTCTCAACTCTACATCACACTCCATCAAAGTGTCTCACACCAACTGCAATTCGTTTCCGAAAATGCCCCTCCACGTGGAAGTGTCGAACACCGGTGAATTCGACGGAACACACACGGTTTTTGTCTTTGCCGAGCCGCCGAAAAACGGAATAAAAGGATTGGGTGTGAACAAACAGTTGATAGCGTTTGAGAAGGTTCATGTCATGGCAGGGGCAAAACAGACCGTTCGAGTTGATGTTGATGCTTGCAAGCATCTTGGTGTAGTGGATGAGTATGGAAAGAGGAGAATCCCGATGGGTAAACATAAGCTGCACATTGGTGACCTTAAACATACTATTTTGGTCCAACCACAACTTTGAGGGAGGCATATAAAAAACAACAAATAAGGAAATCATTTTAACAAAGTGGATTGGTTCCTCTTATATTATATAGCGAGATAGGTTTATTTTCTTGAGAAATTACGCAAGAAAAGTATGAATCTGTAAAGAAGCACCAAAGGGTTGCTTCTTGGTTGTGTGTTTGTTTTTTCTTTTTCTTTTTTTGGACCAAAGTTATTGTAACTTGTGGCTCCCAACATAAGAAATACAAGGAGCCCTTGTAAAATGTTGAAACTAAAGATAAATGAAAGTAAATGTTAAATTTGATATATACTGGATCTTTAGAATATATATATATATATATATATATATATATATCGAAATTAGAAGAAGAAAAAATTGATATATACTGGATCATCATTCTCATGTCTTTAAAACGAACAAAACACTCTGTTTATGGAACACTCTGACATATTGATAATCTTGGAAAATGTTATTATTTAATTACTAATGCCCTAAAGTTCGTTGTGTGTGTTTTTCCTTTTCTGTTTTTGTCTATATATGTATTACAGTATTAGTTTCTCTTAGTATTTTTTCTACAGGCCTGTTGTTCGACGAGGAGTTTTTGGTTGGACCTTTGGGCATAAGTCGTAAATGACTCACTCGCGCAACTCTATAGGTTCATGGAATGGTGTGAAGATGTTGGTGTGGTGGATGAGATTTATTTTAAAAGTACATTCATTTAATTTATATTGAGGTCACTTTTAGGTTAGGTTTGAATATGTATTTAAGTTTTTTTTTTGTTTGGTTTGAAATATGTTTTTATGTTAGTTACTTATGTAAATGCTTTCAAGATCCTTCTTTGGCTATAAAACAAAAAAAAAACACCTTCTTTCGTGTCGGATCTTGAGATCACTTTTAGGTTTGATTTTACTTTTCTTCCTAATTAGTATGGTTTAATTTCATGGCAGTCAATAAAATGGTTTACAATAGGCAAAGTAAAAACATAGAGGGGGTTGGTAATGACTTTTACTCGGCTGCGACAAAATTCTCATCTGTATATTTTTAACCCTATCAAGAAACTTAGAGTCTATTACTTGCATCACAAGTCTTGAAAATTTCCATAAACACTTAACTAGAATTATATAAGAAGGATTTACTAATTCTTGTAAACTCTTAGCAATGGCGTTTTCATTTATCAGAGAGCTCCGGATCTCAGTGACCCTTGTCGTTTTTTTCTTCCTCTTAGTTTCCTTTCAAGGTCAGTCGTTCATTTATACACACCCATATATGTTACTTGTGCTGCAGGATTTTGTTTACTTCATTTAAGAATGTTAATATTACAGGGAACACTTATAGTGAAGAAGATGATTCAGAGGCAGGAGGTGCAGGTGGAGGAGTTGGAGGTGGCGGGACAGGATTTGGCGGTGGTGGGACTGGTGTGGGAGGCGGAGGGACAGGCGGTGGTACTGGACTTAACGGCGGAGGGACAGGTTTTGGCGGAGGAGGAACAGGAGGATTAGGCGGTGGCGGTGGTAACGGAGGAGCAGGAGGATTAGGCGGTGGCGGTGGTAACGGAGGCTTTGGAGGAGGAGGAGCAGGAGGATTAGGCGGTGGCGGTGGTAACGGAGGCTTTGGAGGAGGAGGAGGAGGATTAGGTGGGGGTGGTGTTAACGGAGGCTTCGGAGGAGGCGGTGGCGGCGGCGGCTTAGGTGGGGAAGGTCCACCGGAGATAGTTGCCAAAGCTTTGGAATGTTTAAATGAGAAACACGTAATTAAATCTAAAGCTAGTTACTTGCAAGACAAGCAAACTGCGAACTAGTTTAAAAATTAAAAATCCAACACTCAATCTAATATTATTTATTTATAACTTAACTTCTCATCCTTGGGTCTTGGCTATTTTTAATTGATTATAATTTTCACTTAAACTCCCAAATACAATGCAGATATATAGAGAGTGCGAAGAAACATGGAGGCTAACGTTAAACGGAGACCTAAATATTCCGGTGGCGAGTACGGAGGAGTTCTGCGAAGGACCATGCTTCTCCGAAACACATTTGGCTTTGAATTGCATTGAAGACATTATTCATCACTACAGATTCTTTAACAGAGCAACAATTCACGACATCCGTGAAACCCTCAAGTCTGGCTGCAGCTACGGACCTGAACGAGGTTTGCAATTCTTTAGACCGGTTATTGATCTGGTTTAGACCGGTTATTTCGTTTTCTTGTTTAATGTTAGGTTAAATAAATTGTATGCAGGTGATTTCAACGTTTTGGAACATATTGAAGCTGAAGAAGAAAATAGAAGTGAGAAGATAAAGTCAAAATCTGGACCGTTGCTTGGGACTGTGTTGTTCACCATTGCATTGCTTCTCTAAGACTTTTCTTAATTTTTAATTTTAGCCATTATCATATATACATATATATGTTGCTTATCTAATTAATACAATAAATATAAACCGATCTCTTTGTATACTCTTTAAAGAGTACTTTTAAATAGTTATGTAGATGAGTTAAGTTTGATGTGCAAATAATATTATTACTATATTACTAGATGAGATTCCTTAATTTCTTTTTGCTAAGCGAGTAAATATCATATGAAATGAAAATGGGTTGGATTTACTTTGTTGATTACCTAAAGTTTTTGGTTCCTTGGCAAAAAAGAAGAAAAAACAAGGAAACAAAAATGTTTCTCAAACACAGATTTTCTTTAACTCAACCACAAACTCATTAGATTTCTGAAGATTTTTCGATGACGTCTTGGGTTGATGGAAGTGATGATCTCATGGTCTACAGTTTTGAAGATGACGGACGGCGAATGACCTGGGAGTTATGGAGAAGATTGTTTCTCTACTTCCAAATAGCATAAATTGTGGCCTGAGCAACAATATTTCTGATGATATATGGAGAAGAAGCGGTGCTTAACTTGATCCAAGACCAGTGCCGATCCAGTGTTCGGAAGGCCCTACTCAAGAAATTTTTTTCTTACCCCCTTTTAAAACACTACTTCATAATACTATTTTTCCTTTAACTTCAAACGAACGAAACAGAAATTCATACATGCAAAAAACATAAAACATCAAAACCAATCTCCAAAAACCAAGAACAAAATCATATTCAGAAACCTCAATGAAAACATCCTTAAACATCCTTAAAAATCACAATCACATACTTCTGTTACGTTTTTATTTTGATTAATTTAGTAACAAAAAAAAAAAAAAAATTGGGCCGTAAGCCACCGCTTATATTGCTTAGGTCGTGGCCGGCTCTGGACCAAGACAATATGCTTTCCTAGTGCCGGAACAGCACATGGAGCAACCTCAATCTAGCTTTGGCCAAGCTCCAAATTGTTCTACTGAATCCACAAGAAAGAAGGAGACAAATTCCAAATTGTTTCCAATTGCACAGGGAGCAACCTCAATACTAGATGAGATTTCTACCAAATTGCACAGGGAGCAACCTCTTAATAGAAAGTTCTTTATCAAAATTTCTCTACTTTTTTTTTCAACCACGCAACTTTAATTAAATACTTCAGCATGCCAAACAATATACTTGAAAATAGGAGACAAAAAGTTTATGTATGACCCTAAGAATATATCCTTACATGGCAAACAATATACTTGTTAATTTGAAAGAAAAACTACAAAACCGATTTCTAAAATAATAAAAAAAACTTGAAAGTATCATCAACTCAAAACAATCCATCGTAATTCAGTTTTCTATTTCGAAATTTAAAATTTAAGTACACACTTAATTCTGCAAGTTCACACATAAGTACAACTTAATTAGTTTTATACAAAATAAAACACGGAAACACAAGAAAATAAAAATAAAAAGTGATTTAATTTTCAACCGTTGGATCTCTCTTTTCCCTCCAAAGAGATCAGATCATTAATTGATTTCTTTTTCTTTCTCCCAGAAAACAGAGAAGAAGACGAAGAACAAGATCGTCGACGTTTCTTTCAATGGCGGATCTAAAGAATCTCTTCCTCATCACGAAACATCCATCAACAACACAAATCTTCTTTACGTCTCTCTTCTTCATCTCTCTCTTCCTCCTCTCATCTTCTTCTCTATCCGACTTCTCTCCATCGCTCATCGTCTCTAGCTTCACCTCTCGTCTTCTCACAGCAGCAAACTTCTTCTCTTCTCCTTCTTCTTATTCTTCTTCTTCCTCTGCTTCAGACACAACTATGTTTCTCTCCTCTGTTTCTCCCAGAAGAATCAACGAGCCAAAGATTGATTCGGAGACTAAAGAACTCACTTCTTGCGACATTTTTGATGGAACTTGGGTCTTCGACGATTCTGAACCGGTTTATCTTCCTGGTTATTGTCCTTTCATTGAAGATAAATTCAATTGCTTCAAAAATGGTCGACCTGATTCGGGTTTTCTCCGTCATCGATGGCAACCTCATGGATGCTCGATTCCAAGGTCAGTTCTTGTTCTCGAGTTTATTACGATTCTGCCATTTCCTTTTGTGACTCTGTTTTCGTTTTGGTTTCTGTTTAGATTCGATGGGAAGAAGATGCTGAAGATTCTGAGAGGGAAAAGAGTTGTTTTTGTTGGAGATTCATTGAATAGAAACATGTGGGAGTCTCTGGTTTGTTCACTTAGGTCAACATTGGAAGACAAAAACAGAGTTTCTAGGGTTTCTGGAAAACAGAGTAATCTTCATAACGAAGGCTTTTACGGTTTCAGGTTTAAAGTAAGTGTATCACAGAACAGAATCTCCCATTTGGTTCTTTGGATAATTTCTAGTTTTGGTGATGAATTTTGATATCTTCTTTAGGACTTTGAATGCTCTATTGACTTCATCAAATCACCATTCCTCGTTCAAGAATCAGAAGTTTTAGATGTATACGGCAAGAGAAGAGAGACACTGAGACTCGATATGATTCAACGATCGATTAAGAAGATACACAAAAACGCAGACATTGTTATATTTAACACTGGTCACTGGTGGACTCACCAGAAAACCTATGAAGGGTATGAAACTATGATGAACAGAACCTTCTTCTTTGTTTTCGATTCGTAGCTCTTAACGGGTTTTTCGATTTTCAGGAAAGGTTATTTCCAGGAAGGAAATCGAGTTTACGAAAGATTAGAAGTGAAAGAAGCTTACACAAAAGCTCTTCATACATGGGCTGATTGGGTTGATTCCAGTATCAACAGTACTAAAACCAGAGTCTTCTTCGTTGGTTATTCCTCTTCACATTTTAGGTCTGAATAGGTTTCTTTCAATCCAAGCAACAGAGTTTACGGTTTAGGGTTAGTTTTGATTCTGAGTTTTAACTGCAGAAAAGGGGCGTGGAACAACGGAGGACAATGCGATGGAGAAACAAGACCGATACAGAACGAGACATACACAGGAGTGTATCCATGGATGATGAAAGTTGTGGAATCGGTGATCTCGGATATGAAAACGCCTGTGTTTTACATGAATATTACGAAGATGACTTGGTACAGAACCGATGGTCATCCGTCGGTTTACAGACAACCTGCCGACCCCCGAGGAAGTACTCCTGCAGCTGGAATGTTCCAAGATTGTAGCCATTGGTGCTTACCTGGAGTTCCTGATTCATGGAATCAGCTTCTCTACGCTACTTTGCTAGTTTCACATGGTTCCTTGCCTGACAAGTCACTTGGAAGTCTCTTGTAAAATTGTGTTTTACTTTCTGTCTCTGTAAATTAGCCATTCGTTTGTTGATATTTGCAAGCTTTGTTTTCCATTGGTCTTCTAAGAAATTTAAAATAGAAAAGTTTGAAGTAAATAGTTGTGTACCAGTTTAGAGCCCTCACCATTAGAATATTTAAGCTTTTGCTTCATTTTCTACACAGACAGCTATATACAATAGTTCCACTGATAGTATGCTGATATTTCAATTAGTAGATTATTTAGTATATTATTATATGCTCAAATTATAAAAATTATTAAATAAAATCAATAAAAAGAGGAATTGTTAGATAATTAAATTATGGGTTTTACTTAGCTAAATAACCTTGGTAAATAAAAGCTTGTGAAATAACTTAATTGGTCGATGTTTAAAAAGGGAGTTATCCTCACATAACTCGTTAATTTTGCTGATATGATGTAATTATTTTCTTGTAAGAAAACTCCATTAGTTAAATTAGTGTGATTATGATTTTTTTTACATAGTGAAAATAGTTGTAGTCTTGTATATGTTTTGTGTGTGTGGGTTAGGCCTGAGCAAAAAAAACCAAAACCGAAGAACCGAACCAAACCAAAAAGGAGTTTCGGTTCGATTATGGATATCACTAAGTATCCGAACTGATCTCGGTCACATTATCTATTGGATATCGGGTAATAAGCGAACCGAATCGATATCCATGGATACCCGAATGAAACCAAAAATGTTTGGTCAACTCCTTACAAACCTACATTTAAGCCCAATATATTTTAATTTGTCCCAACCCCTAACCTAATAGATTTTTTATTTATAGTTTAGGTATTTTGGTCCAATATATTTTGGTCCATTACATTTTTGTCAAAAAAAAATCGGATATTTAGGTACTACAGTTCTTTTTTGGGTATATATTTTGGGTAATATAACCGGAACCGAACCGATACCCATTAGAGTTCGGTTATTCGTCGGTTATTTTTTCTAAGTATCCGAACCAAACCGAACTAACAAGTAACCAAACCGAACTGAAACGAAAAACCTCTGATTCCCTTATGGATCTTAAGAGGCTAAAACCGAATAACCAAAGAACAAAAAACTGAAAGAACCGAATGCCGATGCCGTGTGCGCCCGCAAGACTCAGAATATACCATTTTCTTTTTCTTTTTTTTTTGGTAATCGATAGGAGACAATGTCTCCTATGCTTTATTAATGAAAAAAATAACTTACAAACGAATATTACGTGGGTACGCAACCCCATTCATATCCTCTAACAAAACCGGCTTAACAACATCCGGGCAATCAATAAAAGAATGAAAACCAAGCGATAAAGAGAACGCATAGTTCGCTAATCCATCGGCAAGACGATTAGCTTCCCTATACACGTGAGAAATACGGACTATCCAGTCCCTCGATAAGAAGCCATAGCACAGACGTACTAGGAAAGACAACGAGTGAGAATCACTAATCCCCGCTGTAAGAAAACCCACCACCAACTCCGAATCAATCTCCAACTCCAACCGAGTTATCTTACGATCCCATGCAATGTAGAGACCGTAATAAACTCCCCATAATTCCGCTAATGGTGCGGTGCATATTCCAACATTCAATGCAAACCCACCATACCAACCTCCATCTTCTCGCCGGAGAACTCCACCTGCTGTAGCCAAGCCCGGATTGCCTCTCGACGCACCGTCCGTATTCAGCTTAACCCAGCCCTCCACCGGCCTTTTCCACGAGATCATTCTTCCTACTCTCCCCGCAGCCCTTCCCCGACCACCCTCATTCTGGTTTGCTTTGACCACCTCGACGGCTAGATCTTTAATAAATTTCACCATGTCTCGGCACTTCCCATTTACACCAAAAACATTACCACATCGCCATTTCCAACCCCACCATACCGCCATAGCAAACATAACAGCCCAAGG